TACACATTTGTCAGGTGCTATTGTTTCTACGTGTTTTTTTTACATGCCTAAGGCCGTGTATTTTTCGTGCTGTAGTCACCGAGGAACACTACACAGAGGGAACATAGGTGAAGAGATTTAATGAAAACGCTTCCTTTTTCTGTATTGTGCTCAACTAATGAAAACGACAGACAAGAAAATCATCGGGAAGGACATTATTTGGCCTTTCCTAAATTTAGTGTAGTGATTATCATTGCAATTAAAAGAAATTAAGGAGTTAAATAAGACTAGTCGGGACCATTCATTGTAGCCGTAGTGGTAGAACATCGGGCGCGTAATTGGAAGGTTGAGGATTTAGATCCCACCCCGAGAAAACAGGTTAATTTTCAACTTCAATTTCTTTCCACTTAAGCGAGGATAATTACAATGCAGTCAGGCAAACACAAATCATGTCGCGTTTGCTTTCCGCGGCTATAAGTGTTCCACGCTCTCATTGGTTGTGTACAGTACAACTGGGACGCCTATTTTATATATCTATCACATTCAATAATCTGCCTTCTGTCTTCTGTAAACAAAACCGGCAGAGACATAGCCTGCTTTACTGTACTTTTTAATTGTCTGTAAGAATATACTGTGTGGTTGAAGACGTAGTTATGGGCAATTCGGCAGCACATATCACTGTGATATAGCGCAAAATATTAGACTGCACTACCCCTGCTTGTTTATTATTATAATATTTTACCCCGTGTATATAATTTGTGCGGTGATCAGCTGTCAACTTTCATAATTTCAATGCTCACGAAGAATGATATTTCTTGAGCGCGGCATTTGGAAGAATGGTCGATGTACGTCACTAGAATCATTCAGACAAGTGTCAAGGGCGGTAGTTAGGTCTACCATTAAGCCCACGTTGTTAGTTGCTGCACTAACACGCTCCATTATTCCGTGGTGCCATGCACGGCCTTAAGAATAAGACCACTTTCCAAGATACTTTTCCTTTCAGGTCATGACTTATTATATTCCACCTAACATAATTATTTAACCTCAATGCAATGTAAGACTTTTTTCACATTTTGCCACCTGCAGTTGCTTCGAAATTACCGAAATTTGGGTTTTTTTAAAAGTTCAACGATGCACAAACATTCTTTGGTTTTTATTTTATTTTTATCTTCCTAACAAGAGAACGTCTCCCCTCGCTTTACAGTCGAACCAGTATGGTATTAAAGAAGCATAAAGTTCATAGACCTTTTTTGTTTGTCTGTATAGCTTGTCGCACCTACAATTGATTTTTTTTGTACCAACCAAACATCGCAAGTTTTATACAGTGAAGGTATTGTAAATAAATGCTATTTTCTTTGTCTTTTCTTTTGTATCATTACCTACCTATTCCTGTTCTGAAAGCTTAGTTAGATTCATGGTAAAATAAACGAACTGAAAACTTTTGCGTTTCTGCGAGTCGCGAACGGAGTTTTCGTGCTCCGTTGCAATGTCGAAGGAAAAAGGCCGGACCATAATTGAAGCCACCATTAGCTCTTCACCATTAGCTCTCCACCAAAACTGCTAGTTAGCGTCGTTTCATGTCCCTCTGCCACCGACAGCTAACCCGCGACCTTCCTTCGGAACCCCGTACGGATGCTTGGTAATCTCACCATCTGGTCGCACGCATCCACTGTTTTCCGTCACGCGCGGTATGCGCAACGACGTGTCTCCGTCGAGCGCCATTAGCTGCGCCTGCTGTCTACAAGCGGCCGTGAAACAGCACTACGAGACGTGGAATCGCGCTGCGGCAATGAACCATTACTTCCGTCTTTGCGCAGTTGTGCTCAGGGACGGCGCGGCCACCGTTTAGTGGTAGTTGTCTCAGGGTCACGCTGCGGGAAAACGACAATCAGGCATGTGTTCATCAAAGCAGGGCTATCAGATGTGACATACAGAATAATTGGTTATAGTTGTATACATACAATGCACAATACAAGATAGCATGCATAGCCCCACCGCGGTGGCCTAGTGGCTAAGGTACTCGGCTGCTGACCCACAAATCGCGGGATCGAATACCGGCAGCGGAGGATGCATTTTCGATGGAGGCGAAAATGCTGTAGGAAACACTGGTTGGTCGAAATTTCCGGAGCCCTTCACTACGGCGTCTCTCATAATCATATGGTGATTTTGGGACGTCAAACCCCACAAATCAATCAAGATAGCGTGCATACTTCCATAGCTCACATTGCAATGTCTGGTTTGTTTTCAACAGATTCCCGCGTGTGAATTCTCGACCTGTGGAACGACGCTTGAGAAGTGTGCATATTTCGCCACCGAAGATAGTCGGCTGTGCATTTGTTTCATTTTCGTTACACGCTCAAAAACTTTACCGATCAAGCGGTGGCCACTTGTGTAATCTTTAAAGCAATTTAACATAGCTCGAGTGTTGTGATCAAACACATGCGCGATAGTCCTTCCCAAAACGACTGGCGTCCATTCCTTTTCGTGCAGCCGCATGTGCCACATTTTTTATGCTGTCATGTAGTCGTGACGTTGAAGAAGGCCGCAGTTGACGTGTTCACGACGAAATTCTTGATTAGGGCAAACTTGTGCCTGGAAAATGCAGTCAAAGTACAAGGAACACACGCTGTAACACATCTATAGCGTTGGTCACAATGTCCGCAGTCGGTAATGTGCTCAACCATAAGGGGCATCGGCATTTATACACGTGGCGTTAAGATACCTGGCTTATCGGTGGAGTACGTTTTAGTTCCAGAAAAAATAACTCTATTGTCCGTGTTGTGTGCTTATGCTAATTAGAGCAATACAAAATATTCAGGAATGTTGAAGGTTAAAGTACTAATACGCCCGGGAGCATTCGCCACATTTGGCTGTAAATCATGTTGTTACTTTTCCATACTCTTGTGGCCCTCAGCTCATTCGCCACAAAAAGCCGCAGCTAGGCAGCTATGTCCGGGACACCCGCAATAGCATACGGAATCTGCTGTTTGAAAATGGTAGCGGAGTTGCTGCGCCGTCCCGAGTCCCTTTAAGCTTGATCATTTTGTAGCGTTAGCTACACTGGCCTCGCTGAGCCAATTTCGCGTGGCACTGGTCTGCGCATGCACAATGATACTCCGCCGCCACCGGTGTGCGTGCAATTCGATGCGCTGCGCAGACGATCAGTGGTGTCACACACTGGAGCCAGCACCTCCCCCGCACTCGGCCGCGGCCGCGTGCGACTCGCCGCCGCCGGTGTGCGCTTTCCAGAAGAGTGCCGTCATAGCCTTGGTAGACGTATGGACGTCGACGCGCGCGCCGTCCCTGTGCAGTCGCCATCTGACACTGAGCTGGAGCCGCTTGATAGCGCCTCTGACTGGCGTTTGCCACTGTGGTACAGCCATGGAGAAGGAAAGTGCAAATGCTGCTCAACGGTGCAGTAGAGCGGAGAAGCTTAACTCATTGGATCCCGAAGTAGTTGCCCGGCAAAATAAATATTGTCACGGGGTCGTGACGTGGCCAAAGACAGGAAACTTCGTGTTGGGATTTAATTGTTTATTTGGGCGAACCTGTGCCCGGTAAAGGGAAAGTCTAATTACAGCAGCAGTCTTGCACAGATAGCAGTCTCGGACTGATAGCGGCGAACGCAGCGTCAGCCTTCGATCAACAACTGAAAAGCGGCGAAGCGCGTCGGCATTTATACTCTTGCCTTCGAATGTTCTAGCGTTATCGCTGGTGGTGGCGTAGGTTCCAGAACAATCTGTACCGTTCTCACAGTGGGCGTGATCTTATCGAAATGATCTACTACAGTCCGGAACCTTCTCGAAAGCTGCAGGCGCGGTTTGCGCTGAGAATCGTGTGGTGTTTTGGGACGATAATGAAAACTTGGGAAATGGAACGTGGCAATATACATGTGCCGCATAATAGGTATACCGTCTGTGCGTCATTAGAACAGCTGTAAGCATGATATCTGGAAAGCTAATAATAATCAGCTGAACCTTTGCAAACGCTACGTATATCCTGGCATAGCTGAGCTAAGGCACTGCCATTTTTTTGTTTTCGTCATGGAATGCAACATAAAATTTCTCGTTTTCCTTCCTGATACGTAACTACGCTGCTAAAAATGAAATATTTTACTATATCCCTTTTGAAACAGCGAATACATTCGTTGCAGCTTTTAGGACTAAACGTATGTATAAGAGATTGATTTAAATATAGAGCTGACGGTGTTGTACGAGATCGCCTATCTCGAAATGCAAAAAAAAAGTGTCAGAGAAATGTATCCACCTACCCAGTATATACAGTTGGTAAGTATTCATTCTACAAGACAAGACGTGAAAAAAGTTATACGATAAAGAAGTCAAGACAATGAAGATAGCGCTGGTGTCTGTGGTGTCCAATAAGCCAAGCTTCCTGTTATTACAAGCTTTATTTCTAGCACTCTGAGTCTTATTCTATGTCCTCCTACTCATTTGAACAGTCCTGCTTCTTTTACTGTCTTAATTTTTATATGTTCATCCTGTGCTAGGATTACGTAGTTGGTTGTCTTGTTATTACTAGACAACCCAAGTTAAGCTTGAAAAAAATAATGAAGAGCTAGCTGATTAACATGTACCCAAGCTGATACTCTATCTCGGTTGATTGATTTTTGGGGTTTAACGACCCGAAACCACCATATTATTATGAGAGACGCCGTAGTGGAGGGCTTCAGAAATTTGACCACCTGGGGTTCTTTAACGTGCACCCAAATCTGAGCACACGGGTCTACAACATTCCCACCTCCATCGGAAATGCAGCCACCGCAGCGTTATCGCAGCAATTTGGTCCCGCGACCTGCGGATCAGCAGCCGAGTACCTTAACCACTAGACCGCCGCGGCGGGCCGATACCCTATCTGTAGCTGATTCCTTATCTGGGGATAGGTACAACAACACACGCCAAAGCAAAAGAGATAGCAAAAGGCGTATCGAAATTACGCTGATTCGTTTCTGAGCTATGCAGCACTCTTTGCAACCAACTATTTTTCCCTACTCCCTGCCACAGGAGACTTCTCGCCATGAGTGCCTGTGGCGTATATCGTGAGCAAGATGGCCTCTACATCAGCTGCATATTCCAAGAGCCTGTCATCAAAGAAGGTCTCGCCTACAAGCCCAAACCGGGTGACGTGTTCATAGTCTCCTACCCGAAGTGTGGCACCACATGGATGCAGCACATTGTCTACGCCATCTACAACGATGGCATTCCACCCAAGGTTTGTAAATTCTTCGTAATTGAATGTATACTTGACTTGCGCATAAATAAAGAAAACTCTTCTACTTGGAATAATGGATGAAGAGAATAGTAATTTTTACATTGCCTGATTATTTCCCGAAGAGGAAACAACGCTGGCCGTATCTGTCTCTGTGCGAAAGAGAGACGGCATCTTGCATTATGTATGTTTTATGTAATTGTCAACGCTACGGTAATTCCCAATGAGTGTGAGAGGTGAAGAAAAAAAATCGTGTGATGATTTCGACTGTTTTAGTGTCCCGACCCCTCAAGGATTGTTGAAAAACGCGTACTCACGTATCTAAGATTTTTTTTTTACTCAGACCACTGTCACTAGTGAACGAGGCTTACACAAGTCTCTGCAATAGTTCTCAAGTTCAAACCACACACACTTCACGGAAATTCTGGAGAAAAGTGATATCTTCTAATGTTCACTGACGGTTGGGAGCTTATATTCGCTGAACTACAGAAATTATTCAGGCAGGGCGGACGTTCAGAGGTCCTCATGCTTGATATCAATAAGGCACAAGTAATCAAGTGGCTTATCATGGACATTCACGGATGTCATTTAGGTGCATCGAAAGAGCTTACAGAGATGCAGACAGGAAAACACTGCGAGATGTTCGTATTGGTGTGGGCTCGGCCAGCGGTCTTGTGGAGCTGCTGAAGACAATGTTTTGTAACATCCGAGGCCAATTATTTTAGAGGCATTGAAAATGGAAATAATTTGCGTACAATCGCAACTATGGGCCGTGCTTTGAATGTATATTGCTACCCACGCTTTAATGGAAGGGCGTAGAACAGGTACTAGAAATCGTTTATTTAGAGTTTACTTTTTTGTCTCATAGTGAAGCGCTGACAGTAAAATATCCGAACCACACAGTTTTAATGTCAGCAAAATGCGAATTGCAAATACTAACGGTAATGAAAAATCACTCGAGGCCTTAGTACGTTCACCCAGAAATCAGTAATTATAACTTTTGTTGAATGCTTGGCGAAGGTATAGGCATTCCACGACATAATTTTGATTATCAATTATTATACAAACGTTTATGGTGCCTTACTAAACAAAAGAATAATTTATGCATGCACCGGGGGAAAGTGAAAATTGAAGCGAGTAGAGCTAGTATTGACGAAGCACAAATAAAGTGGACGTTGTAGTAAATGTAAGGTCAAGCGCAGGATCCGAAGGCAGTAATGGTACCAACACCTAAGTTCCCATGTGCAGTTTTGTGTTTGAAATCGGCAGTTGTGTTAGAGTTGAAGCTTTGCCAAGGCGGATCTAAAGTGGGCCAACGGAAAAACCAAGAACACTATAAGTTGATCACAACGATTAGTTTTGAAGAAAGGTGTAAAAAATATGTAACATATAAATGAACAGATGGAAAGGCAAAGAGCGGTCTCACGCAATAAAAGAAACTAAGTTGGTGACCAATCATCGGAAGACTGAACGTCATCATCAGAAAAGTCAAATAAAGAGTAGCGTCGAAAAGATCTTGATGGAACAACACTCAAGCTGACAGACATCTGTAAATTTGTTCTAAAAGATACCAGAAATAAAAACTGTGATAAAGCAAATGACGCAGCACATTTCCAGTGAAACCGGATCCGGCTGCATATGGATAAAATATCTATCGCTGCAAATCTTTGCAGCATATATGCCTATAAATCGACTGGCACAACAAATGCCCGACACCTACTCGAGGCATTGTCATAATATTTGGTGCATTCGTCGGGCAAGAAGGCAAAAAAGTCTTCATATTCAAAAGATGCGCTGGGTTGAATGCGAATGGATGCAAATAAGTGCACTGGGTAATACTCGATTATTAGGAGCAAGATACTTTGCAAACATCGATAAACGAAAGCGGTAACAATTTCAGGAACTGCTGTTCATACAGGCTTCTCCAACAATACTTCACAAAAAGTATAGTAATTTTTGAAGATACGCCGTAGATAATACACTGGTTTATCACCCTGCTTGCAAATCAAAATGTCACATGATAATTGTGGTTGAGAAGCAGTTACTACATGTGCAAGGAGATAGTGCGCACGCGCACGCACCTACACTCTGGCACACACACAAATAGAAATTTGTAAAGTTTCCGGTCAACTGTTTAGTCTTCAAGAACGCCAAAGGCAATTTCATTATTGAGAAATATGAATAAATTGGTAAAACGTAATGCGGTGCACTGTTACTGTCACAGACGGCTATTTTCGGCGACACCGTGTCACGGCAATTAACGGGCGCCGTACTCCCCGACTGACCGTGAGAAACGGCGGCACATGAAAGGGAACCGATAAGTGCAAAATGGGGTGCTCTCCTTAGAACGTCGCCGCCGACAGTTAATCCTTTTGTAACCGTGGCGACGTCTGCAAGGTCGTAGAAGGCCGCGGTATACCCCGTACAAGGATTAGACTACAAGACGCCCGGCTGAGAGCTAAGTGGTTGACCGTTCCCACGGAGAAAAGCGTGGGAAACGCTCTGGTGGCCAAGCCGTATGACAACAACCCGACAGGTTGTCACTCTCGCTAGTGCGGGCCCTCTCCCTATTAAAAAGGGGTGGGGTCAAAATATTTTTGGGGCGGAGTTTCCCCTCAATTAAACACGCATGATTGGACCCAGGTAGAGGTCTCTTGTCCCCAAGGAAGAGAGTGAGGAGACACGAGGGGGATTTAAGCGCAGGATTTTGCCCTGCTAGGCAGACTAGTCGCTGACCAAGATGGTGTAGAAACAGATCAACAAGCCTCTCTTCTAGAAGTTTTTAGTGTGGCTCTGTATCGGCTGGCCACCTAAACTTAGCCGTTCGTCTAGCTGTGACGCGATATCAACGTCGGCAACGTAGACATTGGGACTTCGCCTCGAGTTAGCTCAACCTGCTCGAAGTAACCTGCAAGCACTAGCCTCCCGGAGCCACCAGCGTTGCAACACCGCCGACATCGCAGTCGTGCCAGAACTCTCTTCGACTTCTCGCATCCGATCGTCGGGGACACAACGCTGCCGGTCATCACACGTATGCCTTCACCTGTGTATATCTTCGAACTTTCTCCTCTGTAGTTCTATTCTTGTTAGTTTGTGTAGTTTGTGATAGTTCTCTCGCGTAAGCTGATTTATTGTTTTGTATATATTTTTTAGTTGCATCAAGTGTCGATGTATTTTGTTAGTTGTATTGAAGTGTTGTATTAGATCCCGTGTGCTGCAATATCCTTAGAGTAAAGTTGTTTTGTTTTCCCACGTCTCTGATCTCTTCACTGTCTCTGCTTGCGTACGGAACGAACCAACCTGCTGTCATTCCCGTCGCCGACTTCGCGCTGGCGACGCTGGAGTGGCAGGTTGTAACAGTTACTCATCGTGCGGGAGCTTTTCAGCACAGTGGCACATCAGTCATGAAAATTATTTAGCAGTGGACAGGAACATGACGATTGCAAACTCAACGTACGTAAAAGATGATCAAGTGATCTTTTTTCACTCACTAAAGAGCCGCTTTTTTTTACTCTTAACGTTACTCTCTCTCTCTTTTTTTGAAAGTCAAGTACATGAATTTCTCTCGGAACTTGCAGGACATGGACGACTTCATGAAAAGGGCCCCTTTTCTTGAGTTGCTGGGGACCGCTGCTGTGGAGTCCATGCCACGTCCCGGTGCCATCAAGACTCACTTACCGTATCACCTGCAGCCCATGTCTCCGAAGGCCAAGTACATTTACGTCACCCGAAATCCTTACGACTGCTGCGTTTCGTTCTACCATCACACTAGGTCTTTCCCAGCCTACCGATTCGCCCAAGAGCCCTTCGACAAGTTTTTTGACATGTTTGTCGAGGGCAAAGTTGACTTCGGCGACTACTTTGACCACCAGATCTCCTGGTACGACCACAGAAACGACGACAACGTCCTTGTCATCACCTATGAAGAGCTCAAAATGGATCCCCGTGCCGGAATCGTGAAGATTGCTGACTTCCTCGGGGAGAGTTATGGTAAGAAACTCCGGGAGCAACCGGAAGTTTTAGAGAGGATTCTCAACACCACCAGCCTGAACACCATGAAGGGATTCAACGAGGAATTCAAGAAATGGACGGAGAAGGCTAGCCGACTTTCATTGGACAGACGAGCAAGACAAATACCAATGTCTGCGCAAGTTGCCGAGGACTTGAAGAAGCCGATGACCGGTGACTTTGTGAGGAAGGGAATTGTCGGCGACTGGAAGAACCACTTCACGGCCGACCAGATTAGGCGCATGAAAGAGAGGATCGCCGAAAAAACTAAGGGCAGTACAGTCATGAGTCTTTGGGACTGGCATTGATCTTCCATAAAAGAATTAGGTTTGAGCGATATACTTGTTAATGAGCCACACAAGAATTATTGTACAAACTCACTGTGTTTCAAAGTGTTTTGAGAAGGCAATATGTGTAAAGAGCCAACCTGTTGTAGAGTTAACAGTAGTTTTGCTAAAGTGAGATATCTATATATGCTTTGTAAATGAAAAGCATCAAAGTACTTAGAAAACGTCTTGTTCAGTGCAATGTACGTGCAATTAGGGCGTCATACGTTCTTTTCAATTAAACTTTCTTCGCAAACCAGTCAAAATATGAACATCTGATATTGAAATAGTTTTCAAGCGATTCCCTGACAAGGCCCCGATATATGTGTTCCTGTCATCACGCATGCTATTTCATCATAACATCTTTCTGAAATGTAAAACGAAATCCACTGCATGGTTCAGTACGCAGTGGTTCAAATGGAAAACAGAGTTTTTTTGTCATACGTTTCAAAAGCCGCTTCCAGCGCCAGCGCCTTGACAAAGTTGCAATAAGCAATCGTGAAATACGTGATTTTCTATTGCCGTAAATATACGAAAGTGGTTTGATTTTGGTCGCAAGTAACTGCCATGGTTGCAGATTGGAGATACTTTTTTTTAATATTAAGCCCTAGCAACATTGTCTTATCAGTGTGTCGTGGTACAGAAATGCATATTCTTTAGATGCATAATTATGTCACAATTCCGCATTACACAGCATTACCTCTGATCAAATGAAGAAAATCTGAAAAAACTGTTAGAAAGCCTGTATTTGAAGTCGGCTCCTCTGTAGTGCAGAGAGGTATTATAGTAATCATCAAGCCACAGATGCGTTTTCTGTGGTTCATGGTACACTTATTTCACGATAAGTGTGAAAGTGTCGCCATCACCAAGGGACCAACACGTGCAGAAAGGTTACTAAGCTCACAAACATAAATACTTTTTGTGGGGCAAAAAAAGTAAGTGAAAGTACTCCGACCCAAACGTGTAAATTAAACCAATCAAGTATTAACTGAATAAGAGAGACGCCAAAATGCAATTTTGATGATATAAAAAGAGGGAAATCAAGAAATAAATAGAAATAAAACGAAAGAAGGGAACTGAAAAAAAAAACGTTAAGAAAGGAAGAATGTTATTTTCATTGGATGACTTGGTGCCATACAGGGTGACTTGAGCTTCTTGGGTGACTATTTTAGGGTATCTTGATCCTGTGGGGTGTGAGTTGATCTTTTCCATTTCCTGAAGTTCTTCAGGGATATTGCGGACTCTAACTACGGGTGGTTGCTAGGGAAGTACCAGGTGATGTCCTTCGTTTTTTTTTTTGTTGATTCTTGATCTTTCTTCTGTCTTCTTATGTTTTCTTCCTTACCAAGAGTCCCGGAAAGCCCCGACAGAGAAACTTAGCTATTCTCTCGAAAATGGTTTCCCGGGAGCAAGACCCAATCAAGCGCAATATAACGATTTGAATATGTTGCTGGTCAAGCATATGCGTTTAGGCGTACGATCTTTTTTTTTCGCAGTGCTTTCGATTTTCTCGCAAACTTCTCCCGTGGTAACGGTCTGAGTCAATCGTTTCAAATACATAGGTCACATTCCACTGAATGCACATGCCTGTAACGATAAAAATAAAGCCATGTATTGTTTATAATCAATGTGGTCATCACATCACCAATCTTTCCTAAGAAGAAAGTACTCTGCAATGTCTCTGCTATAGGTATAGATGTGGGTTTATGAATTGCCCTATTGTATTGATCTTCTTATTATTTCTCTGAATTTGCTCGCTATTACGCCATACTGAAATATTTACACTGCAAAAAGGCTCTGTGTTCTTCGTTCGAACCCGACGAAAGCGACAAGCATGCTAGTTGACGCTTTCTTTCCCACAGTCTGCGCAGTGAATGCCAACAAAACAGATATTTTCAGGCAGCTTATCTTCAAAGTAGTACTTCGAAAAATAAAAACGTGCAGCAGAATTGTACATTTTATGAAAATTTTCTTACTGCCACGTTTTTTGCACCCAAGTATGAAGAGTTGAAAATTGGACAAACATGCGCTGAAATACTGAAAGCTTTCATGGGCTTTAGAAGGTGTGAGAGCAGTGGATTTTTTTTGTATTGGTTTGTGGCTTTGTTTTCTATATTTTTTTGTCGAGATCCTTCAACATCCAGTGAGACTTTTTTTCTTCATCAGACTAGATGCAAGTTCAACACCTTCGTACCCACTGTCTCTAGAGCTTTCACTATCCTGGCATGGCTGTGTCTCTGACGGAATATGCTTTTCTACTCAATCTGGATCTTTTAAGTTTTCATTTTGCGAGGACTGAGATATTCACAACGAAATATTATTTCTTGCACTTGCTCTTTTTTGAACTCGTGCCCCCTAATTAAAAACCTTTTTTGATGTTTTGAAGTGCTGAAATGATTTTCTTTGCAGTAAATTAACAAAAAATCACAGTATGTCTATGAAGTAAACGATGAGGAGTGGGGCAAAGCGTCCGTCAGCCCGTCTGCGCTTCTGTCCGTCCGTTCCTTATTGCTTCCTTCCATCCGCGCGAGCACCCGTGCGTCCATCCATGCGTCCGTCCGCCTGCCCGTGCGTCCGTCTGTGAATCTGTCCATCCGTATGTCCATCTGTTCGTGCATCCATCCGTCCGTACGTGCGCTCGTCTATCCATCCGTCCGTCTGTCTGCTAATCTGTCTGCCCGTTCATCTGTGCGTCCATCTACTGAACACTCCAAGTACCGCCACCTCCAATTTCGCATCCCCTATGGAACATACCCGCTCTTGAGCGGGTATGTGTCACCGGTGGCTACCTACTACTCCATACATACGGAGAAGCGACACACCCTCGGCCTAAAGAGCTTCGCCGTTAAAACAACAGAACAGCATCCTATTGCGAACTGCCGCACGCTTTTGGAATATCCTTAAAGGTGGACTTCTTGGTCATAAGCGCCACAAACATGTCAAGCCTAATTTGCACAAAATATTGTCAATAACGATTGTTTTGAAAATACTACATTCTACGATGATTAACTATGCTTCGCGAAAACGAATAGAGATAGTTATAACTAGATATTACAAGTAATAAGCAAACAGAAGCAGGAGAAAGCCAGGCACTCGTCGTCAGTGCTGACCGCACGTGATGTTTATTATTACATTGGAAGCAGAGCTGAAGTGTTGTACCGATGGTGCTACCAATCAAGTGTAAAAAAAAACTTGGACTTCCACGCTTGTGGCATTTAAGGATCAGGAGTTCTTTACTCAAATTTTCCCGGAGAAAAAAAAATTGAACAAGACTGCTACAAACGTGGCAGGATACAAAGGGTTATGACTCGTCCTTAAATAAAAAAGTATGAATGGATGGATGAAAGAACATTACAAAATTTCAAGGGGACGCACTGATTTTCTACCCTGAAGTGGGCCACTCCCACTTCGGGACCGGAAGACGGAGCTCGCTGCAACATTGCGGGCCCGTTGAACCCGCGAAAAGGGACTGAATATATGAAGGGATGCTCAGAACATTCCAGGAACGAAGATAAAACAGAGCTTCAATTCAGAGCTATGTGTAATGAAGCTGTGAGCTTACGCGTCTATGTATAATCAGCATGTGACGGAGTTTTCAGAATTAAACAGCAGCGCAAGAACCTACAGAAGAGTAAAAGAGTAGGCCTGATAATTATTATACATGAAGCCAAAAGTAATATGCAACAGCCTTGGCAGAAAAGAGCGCTTTGCAACAGGTGGAGAGACGCTGAAAGTTCTGAAAGCATACGTCTAGCTTAGAATAGGTAGTAACCGCGAGCCAAACCAAGAGATTAAAATAACTAGAAAAATAAAGATGGGGTGGACCACATTCAGCAAGCATTCTAAAAACATGAATGTATAACCTACCACCTAACCCTCAAAAGCGAGGTATATAACAGCTGCATCTTGCCGGTACTAACCTACGGAGCAAAAACCTGGAGGCACACAAAGAGGGTTCAGCTTGAATCGAGGACGACGCAGCGAGCGATGGAACGACAAATAATAGGTACAACCTTAGGAGACAAGGAGAGAGCAGAGTGGATCTGGGGACAAACCGGGGTTAAGGATATCATAGTTGACATCAAGAAGAAGAAATGAACATGGGCCGGGAACGTTGCACGTAGGAGGGATAGCCGCTGGCCATCAAGGGTAAGTGGCTGGATCCCCAGAGAAGGAAAACGCACGAAGGGGAAGACAGAATGTTAGGTGGGCTGATGAGATTAAAAAGTTCGCAGGTATAACGTGGCAGTAGAAAGCACCTGACCGGTCTGATTAGCGGATCATGGGAGAGGCTTTTGCCCTGTAGTGGGCGTAGTCAGGCTAATGATAACGATAATGATGCAAGAATCTAAAGCCTAGCTGGCCACCATAGTCTAGCTAGCAGAATTTCTCGCAACAGTAACTGCTGGGTGGCAGTCGGTACACAGCGTGCAACAGCGCTCCTAGACGAAAGAGAAAACTACAGGATGCACGCATGTATGTGTGCTCTTCTAGCTCTTCTGCCCCGTCTAATACAGAAAAAATGCGTTTTATTTAAAGATATATTACCATGCAAACATGTAGGAGAGAACCCGTAGTCCGGGTTTCCTGTGATGACCTACGTAACCACCCTGACACATTAGGCACGCTGTTCTACGCATAATTAGCAAAAGCACCTAAACTGGGCAACTCCTGCAGAGAAGCGAATGTGGTTGGCCTTTCTGCTCCGGTCTAGATTACGCAATTTTGGCCGAACCATCAACGCAGGTCACCAGTGTGAGGCACGCGTCCGCACTGCTGCTCGCGAGGTGAAGTGGAAGAGCAGCTGGTGCGCAAGGAGCTTTCATTTGTTTTGTGGGAATGAGGAACGCCCAAAACAGCAGGCATGCTGCCCGCTCTGCATGAGGCACGAGCTGGAGCTGCTAGCCAATGGTTGCTGAAACGCTGGGCTTTCTTTTTTTTCTATTGCGACAGAGACTTGCCTTCAAGGCATAATATTTTTAGGGGCGAAGC